TTCCCCCTGAAGGTCTCTTTCCCAGAGCTCCCACTTTCTAATGCCAGCCCAGCACTCAGTACTGAGATTAGCCACCTGCACCTGCTCTTCGGCTGTGAGAGTTCTTCTGAGAATGTAAACTAGCCTCTATTCTCAGCTCCTTATCAGCTAAGCAAGTGCAAACTTTTTATGTCATCTGCCTGGATAACATGTGAAGTAAAATGATATAGGAGAAACTAGGCTGATCACAAGCCATCGGCAGAGTTGGAAGAAAAGTCCGTCTGGGTTCAGTTCCAAGTGGGAAGAAAGACAATGGAAACATGGAAGCTGTTTGGAAAGATGGTTTAATGGTGGATAGGGCCACATGGTTTGAAGTCCTGGGTAATAGAGCACATGAGAGGGAAGGGGAGGGGGAGGAGAGGGAGGGGGAGAGAGAGAGAAACTCTCTTGGGCTTTGAGCTTGCTTCCCTTTCCTGTGGGAAGGGTATTCTGGGGCCATGCAGGGGTAACTTTGTAGGTTGTCTTGAGTCCCAAGCTTGGTTGAATCTTGCTGGGTGATGTAATGAAGAGGCTTTGGGCAATTCCTATTATGGCTTAATGGCTTTGTCCTGGTTTGGATCTTGAGTGAGGGCTAATCCTATCATCCTGGAGCTGAAGATCTTTTGTCTTGTAAATAAGCTGTCACCAAAATATCTGCTGGGGCTGAGTTTCTCTGTCCCTTAAGATTTCTATTTCTCTTGAAGGGGAAATATTCTGCCTTTTTAATATTTCCTAGACTATTTCTTTCTTCTAGGAGACGGGTGGGTGCTAACTTTCTACAGCAGGCTGCAATAATTAGTTTTATGTATCTGTTTGGTATTAACCAGTGGCTGGTTGGATTTCAGGAGCAGAGTCCTTGGAGACTTAACTCCTTGACAGCTAAAACCATCCAAATAAATAATCAGCAGTCTTATAACACATTTTGTGATAGTTTTCTTTATCAATAAGGAACAGGGGGTCTCTGAGAGACAAATCATTCTTTCACCCATCCTTCAAAATTCTCTCTGAATTTATCTAAATACACTTGGGATTTTCCTGGGGTTTCCCATCCTTGATCTAAGTCAAAATAACCTGCTAACAATGAGTTATACCACAACATATAAATATAAACATGCAGGTACATATTTGCGCTGTGGTAAACCAAGAGACTAATTTTGTCTCCATAATCTTCTCTAGCAACATGATGGCAGAGTCTAATCACGTCCCCTACAATGTTACATCTGGTCCAGTGTAATTTGAGTGTAACTTGTTAGTAATAACTCAGTACCAGAGAAAATTGACCAATCTCTCAACTGACAGTGAGGACGATTAACCAGTGGAACAGCTTGCTTCATAAGAGTTGTGGGTGCTCCATCATTGGAAGTTTTCCAGAAAAGATAGGACAACCGTTTGTCTGGAGTGCTATAAGGATTCGTCCCGTAGGATGAAAGAGGTTAGACGAGAAGATTTTATCCCTTCCAGTCCTATGATTTTATGATTACTTGAACTTTTCTTGGCATGAATACATTCACATTCAGGATTTATTTCCTTATTTATATCTCAGTTTGTAGTTAATTTCATCTGCAATTTGGAAGAGGCAAACCAAAGTATTTTCTGTAATTTCCAGCTTGGTATTGTACTAATGAAAGGTATCATCTATTATATTGTTCCCCGACTCCCTTGCTCTCTTATTACAACTGTTTGGAGTTACATTTTTCCAAGAACCATGAAAGCACCTCCTCTGTTGCCCTCATTTTTAAAATCCAAAGGTTGCTGCAATGGTGACCTGGTGATCTGTTGTTTCTCCGGAGGAACACTGAGATGGGAAGCGTTTAAATTTACAGTTTTAGAAAATGGTTAAGCATCGGATTGAATTTGACCAGATGTCTGCTGATCCTTCATAATTTTCCCAGAACATACATTTATATTTGATATGATAGATTATCCTGTTTCTTCTAATTTTTCCTGATTACTTTTGCCTGGCAAAGGTGTTATGTTTTTGCCCCTCCTTGTATTTCAAAATACACTGATGTTTTCCCTGTATTTAGAACAGTGAGAAGTTCAGCAGATTGTTTAATTTAGAGTTATATTTTTATATTAATGCATCAGTAGGTGCAGGCTAAGACAAAAAGCTTTGCTCTGCATGCTCTCTCTCTCTCTCACTCACACACACACATGCACCATACAACCACATATACAATCACACACACAATACATGAGGCAGGTTAGGGTGACTCTTAAAAGGATGCAAACAGTAAAGAGTCTGTTCATGGAACTCTCACTTATATAATTAAATTTTGGCATTTGCTTTTAAAAGGAGATTGAGGAGGATCCGAACAATTGCAAACCTACCCATGTTTTCTATGGAGTGTTCTATAGGCAAATATGTACACACTGGGTTTATTTATTTAATCATTCATTCAATATAGCCACCATCTCACATAAGTGACTCTGAGTGAAGCACAATAGTAAAAACAGCTTCAAAGGTTCAACAAATCAATACGAAACAAACATAAGTCACATAACAAACCGATCCATAAAAACCACATTAGAGCTCAAAAAGCATTCGTAAACAGCAGCAAATCCAATTGAAACGTCACATTCGAACAAGAATTGTAAATATCCTTCATCGCCCTCAAAGCCCCAGGCGTGAGGGCAATGTCACATCTTCAGAGCTTTCTGAAGACCCACAAGATCAGGGTCGATCTAACCTCTGGGGGAAAAGATATTTCAGAGGGTGGGATCTCTCTTCCTAAGTTCCCTCAGATGACACCCTGCTTTGTAGACAGGACCCATAGCACGCCTCTCATGCCAAACCTGACCGGACAAAAAGATGTAAACAGAAAGAGGTGATTCCCCCCCCGCTCCCCAATATTCCAAAGTATTTGAGGGACAGGGGGTCAACTTATTTTCTAAAGCACCAGAAGACAAGAAACTAATCAAGGAGAGAAACAAACTGGAATTTAGGAGAAACTTCCTAACAGGGAGAAGAATTAACCAGTGGAGCAGCTTGCCTTCAGAAGTTGTGGGTGCTTCATCACTGGAGGTTTTTAAAAAGAGATTGGACAGCCACTTGTCTGAAATGGCTTGAACAGGGGGTTGGACTAGAAGACCTCCAAGGTCCCTTCCATCTCTATTCTGAATTGAAATAAATATCCTTGCCCTGTGCCCTGTAGGGCTTTATATCTCACCCCCAACCCCTTGAACTGACTACAGAAGCATATGGCAGCCAATGCAGCTTGCAGAGCAGACGTGTAATATGTGCTGATGGAGAAAAGCACACGTGATTGCCCACACTGTCACATTTGCACCAGCTGCAGTTCCAGATGTTCGAGAGCAGGCCCATGTAGAGCACATTTCAGTAATCCATTCAGGAGGTGACCAGCCCATGAATGAGAACGGAGCCTCCTGGTTCAAGAATAGTTGCAAGTGGCATATAGCACAAAGGGTATCCTGGCCATAACTGTCACCAGCTCCTTGAGCAGGAACCTAAGTTCAGGAGAACCCTCAGTTTGCACACTTTTTGGGACAGTACCAGTCCATCCAGAACCTGAGAGGGTTAAGTCCCTCGGAACCCAAAGCCCCTAAACCCAAAAATACTCAGCCTTCCTCGGGGTTGAGCTGAAGGCTGTCATTCCACATCTAACCCCATTCGGCTGACAGACACCAGTTCAATGTCTAGATTTATTTACATGGTTAATTTCATACATAATTAACGTTGGTATTTCCTATGAACAACAATCTTTGCTGCGCTGTAACTCTTTATAAATTCAACCCATAGAACAATATTTATACAAAGAAATACCTCCACAAAACGCAATCCTTTTGGGGTTTCAGTTGCTGAAAATGACAAATATTTGATGACTTTATTGATTTTACTTCTGTACATTTAAAAAAAAATAAAGATAAGTATAATTTCAACAGTAAATTGTATTCCTGGGAAAGACAGAAAAGTATCTATCTTGTAGATTTTGATGCATATAAGAAGGGGCAATAAGCTAAGCATTCAGTTAAAATGGACAAGCTTGATAAAACAAATTTGGCTATGTTCATGCTTTGTCTCAGTGTTTCTTCAACCTTGGCAACTTTTAAGATGTATGGACTTCAATCCCCAGAATTCCCTAGCCAGCTGTGATTGATAGCTGAGGAATTGTGGGAATTGAAGTCCACAAGTCTTTTAAGTTGCCAAGATTGAGAAACACCGCTTTAAATATATATAACCTAACACATAATGACTATATTTGCCAAACGTAGCAGTCTTGTTTGGTTTATTTTTGTGACCTAACATGTTTGCTTATCTTTTCGTTGAGTTGACCATATTGTGCAGACCCAGAATATGGGCTAATTCGGGGATCCAAGGGCTGAGAAAATACAGCCTTTATATCATATGAAACTTGAGCCAGTCTTCTGCAGATCAAACCATCAATCTTAGGTCCTTACGGAGGAGTACAGCCAGCCAGGTAGCCTAAGGAGCCCTCCAACCAGGTTCTCCCAGACATTACCAATATAGGCAGTCCTTGACTCACAAACAATTTGTTTAGTGACCATTCAAAGTTACAACAGCTCTGAAAAAAGTGACTTCTGACCGTTTTTCATTGTTACAACCTTTGCAGCATCCCCCAAGATCATGAAACCAAAATTCAGGGGCATGGCAACTGGTTCCTACTTATGACCGTTGCAGCTTCCCAAGGTCAGGCAATCCACTTTTCCAACCTTCTGGGGAAGTCAGATTCCCTGAACAACCATGTTGCTAAGTCATCGACTCCAGTGATTAACTGAACGAAGGAGGCTAAGAAAGGTCAAAAGGGGCGAAATTCACTTCCCAAAGGTCTCACTTAACAAGAGAAATGGGGAGGGGGCGCTCAATTGTGGTCGTAAGTGGAGGACCACCTAATACCGCCCCGTCTTGTCACCAACAAAAAAAGCCCTTCATTCTCTCCCAAGAAAGCCAACGGGAAACACACCCACAGACACACACTCCCTTTGACACTTTGGGACGTTATTTCTCTTCCGCGGGGGCTCTTTTCGCCACAGCAGCCCGGAGAAGCGGCCACCTGCGGGCGCTCCGCCCGCCGCGCTCCGCCTCCTCAGGTTGGGCAGGTCGCTCCCATTTGCTTTTGAACGACTCCGAAACTCCGGTCGCCGCGGCCTGAAACTTGACCCTTCCCGACCTCGGCAGGTTGGCGAGGCTCGGAGGGCGGGCTGTACGTGGCCAAGCGAAGTTTCACCTTCCCCCAGGAACCAGGAAACGCCGAGCTCCCTTCGGAAGGCTTCTCGGCTGGGAAGAGACCAAAGCTGCGCCCGATCCCTGAAAAAGTTCCCGTGAACTCCGGCGCCGCGTTGCTGAACGTGGGGACGAGGCCCTTCAGCAGCTCTGGGGTGAGTTGGGAAATTAAGGCCGATCGGGCACACAAACAACTTCGGATCTTTGTGTGGTAAAGGAGGCTGGCTGTCTTCACGTAAGTCTCCTCCCCACCTTGGCTTTGAAGATCTGGGATTTGTAAACAGCCCTTCTTAAAACGCCCCAGAAACTTACGGGGCTTTTTGTTCTGCTTGAATGCGATCCCTTTAAACCGCTACAGGTAGTAGTCCTCAGCTTATTACAACAGCTCGCTTAGCGACTGTTTGAAGTTACAACGCCACTGAACAAAAGTGACTCAACATAAGACTGGTTTTTCACGCTTGCGACCCGTTGTGGCATCCCCAGGGTCACAGGATTCACATTCAGATGCCTTGCAACTGACTCACGTTTATGACGGTTGCAGTGCGATCTGCCTTTTGCAATCTTCTGACGAGCAAAAATTAACCAGATTCACTTAACAACCGTGTTACTAATTGAACAACTGCAGTGATTCACTTAGCAAATGTGGCAAGAGAAGTTGTAAAGGGGGGCAAAACTCACTTAATGGATGTTTCACTTAGCAACATAAAATTTTGGTCTCAAATGTGGTCGTAGGTTGAGGATGTATCTATTGTGGTCTATTGTAGTCCTGCATCTCAGATGGCAATTTGTGGTATCACAGTTGGGCTAAAACGGTATCATCTCTGACTATTGGCTGGAGCTGATGAGAGATGGGATTTCGACCACATCAGGAACATGGACAGCTTTGTCCCATTGCAAAGTCATACCTGAATATGCTCTTGGATTTACCATTCTTGGCAACACAGTCAAAAATGAAGATAAATCTTATGGGATTAGGCTGTTTTTGTCAATTCGTTTATAAAATTGTGAACATAATATAAAACAGTCCAAAGCTGGGTACAGTCCATTAAAAACTAACATAATTTACAGTACATTTAGAGTAAAACCTAAGATAATTCAGCAGAAGCGTTGACATCATAAGCTGCCTTGGTTCAGTCAGTACATTTATTTCTGAGCCTACGCTCATTTTTAATGGATATCTAAAGGATCAAAATCCAGATAGAGTAAAACCCAGCCATTCCTAAGGCAGCAGGGACCCGGAGTGGCCTCTAATTCTGTGGATTTTGATAAATAAAAAAGATAGACAGAGCTGCAATGCAGAAGATTGGAATCGCTATTACTATCACACACTCCCTGTGTGCCTGTAGCATTGTCTGGTCATTTCCATGTTAGCTATATGCCCGAAACAGAGATTCCTCCTTTTCTTGAACATGATACAGTTAACACATTAGCTCTGAAATAAAGGAGGAATGAAAGGTGCACTGTGCATGTGCGAACCAGTTGATGGGTGTAGCTGACTGAACTAAAATCCTTCCTTAAAGAGAAATATACTTTCCCAAGAAGAGATACAGCAGACGTTGCTAAAATAATCCATTTTCCTATAAACGATGTAATTTTAAAACATTTTAAATGATTCCCCCCCCCCGCAAGGTTATAAGGATCACTCTACCGATAGTTCTCGACTTACAACAATTCATTTAGTGACTGTTTGAAGTTACAACTGCATTGAAAAAAAGGGACTTATGGCCGTTTTTCACGCTTACAACTATTGCAGTACCGCCATGGTCAAAGTTCAGGACCCTTGGCAGTTGACACTCATTTATGATGGTTGAAGTGCCTTGAGGTCATGTGATTAACCTTTTGTGACTTTCTGACAAGCAAAGTCAGTGGGGATGCCAGATTCACTTAACAATCGTGTCATTAACTGAACAACTGCTGTGATTCACTTAACACTTGTGTCACGAAAGGTCATAAAATGGAGGAAAACTGACTTAAAACCGTCTCACTTGGCAATGGAAATTTTGGGCTCAGTTGTGGTTATAAGTTGAGGACTAACTATATTCCATAAATTTTGCTGATCTCTTAAAACAGCAACATTTGAAGATTGTGTTCCTTTGATTTTTGCCATTTGTTGTATTCCTTTGCTTTTTGAGATTTATAGCGGTATAAATTGATCGAATTGTTTAGTTTAGCAATTCCAATCTTTTAAGTTTAGCAACTCCCTACCTCACTGTACATTTTGTTCCCCAACCTGGTGCCCTCTAAATGTTTTGGTCTAATATTCTATTGTTATTGACCAAATTGACAAAGAATGTATTTTGGGGAGCTGCTATCCAAAATTTTGGGATGGCGTTGAATTGGGAAAGGATGCTCACCTATACTATATAGCAAGTATTAAAACCTACTGCTGTCACTTTCTTTTTTTATAGATCATCTTCGTGCCTTATTTTGTGTTTCTAACCGAGTAACAAAATTGTTGACTGAATGTTAGCCATTCATCAAATTGAAGCAGAAGCGAACTCTACTTGTAGATAACTTCAGCATAATAGAAGATGCCCCATTCTGGGAAATTTCATCAAGACAGAGGCTACATTCCCAGGGAGAACCCCAATTATTTTGATAAGAGAAGTAGGCCACCAAATTCCTCAGGTGGAAGGTAAGTTTAGAAATCATCCTTTGACTGGAACAGTTTTAATGCTCTCTCTTCCCCTCTCATTTGTATGCAATTTACTCCTGTTAAAGGTTTCCAACCAAACTGCTGATAAGTAGTAGATCAGTGTTGATAATGTCCTGTCAGGAAGAATAGGGAAAGAGCAAAGTGTTTTCCCAAACCAAAAAAACCTCATTTAATGGGCCAAAGCATACTTTTTTAAACTGAATAGCTTTGCATGTATAGCTGGGCGGGGGGAGTGATGTCTTGAAATCTGTACCCCGACATTATACTTAAGCTTGAGTGGGAGTTTCCATTAGTGGCAGTGCCAGTGATTTTTCTAAGCTTAATTCACAGCATATCCGATTTCAGGATATGTACTACACAGGGAAGGGGATAGCTTTCTCTTTAAAAGTTCTTCCCACAGGCCTTTAAACAGAAAAACACTTGCAAACATGAATGCAAGGTGGGTTTCCCCCTCCCTTCTCCTAAACTTAATTGTCCAGCTTAGAGAGTGGAATATTTTGGTCTTTGCAAGATGTGGTAAGAGAATCGTACCTAACATGGTCCTTCCCTAATCATCATCTTCATGGAAGTTAAGATCTAGGAGAGAAAATTATACATTGGTACCAATAGATACTTGAAGCTCCAGTAGGGGGAAGAGCTTGGAAGTTAAGTGTGTCTTGGCAGCAAATATATTTTACACACACACACACATCACACACACACACACACACACACACAAACACAAACATCACATATCCCTGGTATCCTCTCCATTTTTTGTGGAATTATCTTAAATCTGAAGCAACATACTTTTTCTCTCCGCTCCAATAACGCCAAATTTTCCAACTCCATCTTCAACTCTCTATTTATGATTTCTGTCTTACTTTCTACTTTATCAGTAACACAGTTTAGGTCTGCAGGCAGTTGCCTTATAGATTTTTCAGGGTTTTTTTTATTTCAATATTTTTTGTTATACCTGCAAATCATTCTTCCATTTCCTGTTGTTGTTTTTTAATTATTGCAGTCATTTATGCAAAATTCTTCAACCATTTTCTGTAATAAATCTGGTGAAATGTCCTTATCTGTAAGTTGCTCTAGTGAACCCCCTGCATCCTTTCCCCCAATTTGGCAACTTTCCTTGTCATTGCCATGGTGGGAAAATGAAAGTACACCAATTATAGTACTGGTACTCTTTTGCTTCTCTCTATCGTTAACATTTTAGTCCCAATTTTCTGAAGTTACAGTCTCACAAGTTAGCTCATATTAGCTTCATCTTATTTTGTAAAATCAACCAATTACTATTCTCCTTAGAATAAATAATCAACATTCCCACAAAACTCCAGTCTGCTAGTCTAATTAATTTTACCGTTTTCCAAGGCAGTTGGAAAAAATATTCATTCTGTTTTTGTTTTTTTAAATCACTGTCCCCTTTGTTCATTGGAAACTTTCTTAGATCATGATCTTGTTAAGCTTTTTGCTTTTAAATTGAAATCCTTTTAAGGTAGCTGATTTCCCCGCTTTTCTTAATTTCAAAAAGAAGGCACCCTGAGTCTTTGATCTTTACTGCCATTGAGAATATCTCTTTTAGCTTGCAAAATAATTAAATCGTCCAATGTCTAAGAAGTTTAGGCTCTTGCTAGTCAAATATCCATGAAGGCTGCACAGCAATTAGGAACACCTTGTAAATCCCTTAGCGCCCAAACCCTGACCCACAATTGATCACAAGAAACGAACTCTCCCAAGGAGCAGTTCTTTCAGAGCACAAATGGGTGCTCCCTAATTTCCTCCAAAGAAATTTCCGTTAATTCCACCACTATGTTGTCTCTACTTAAGAAGCCTCTTGCAGAGATCTCTAATGCACCATAACGTTTCACCCATAAACCTGCCCAGATTCAACTTTGACCTAGGATAAAAAGTTTGCTTAACATCTCCTAGGGAATATCCCCCACAACGTGGGTAAGTTTATCCTCTGGTAAACACCAACTTCCTCCCAACGGAGGTAACACATAAATAGCCTTCCAATTTTGTTTGTCCCTCTGCAGGAAAACAGAAGTTTGTGACAGTAGCCCTGTGTCACAGATTTGGTGGAGTCATTTCCAAATTTTGAAATAATCTCCCAGTATATTCAGGGAGTTGACTGGGAGGAATGCTGCCAGTGTATTGCTGAAAGGAGGGGAAATTGCTGATCGTTCTAACATGCTGATCTATCACAGAGACATCCAGGTTTTCTGTTGTGGCCTGCAGAGCTGGCAGCAGATTTGGACAGTGAGGAGGCTAGGGAGGAACATGGGCCAGTCCTGGAGTCTGGGGAAGGCTCTGACAAGTGGTCTGCATCGGAGGAAGAGATGGAGCTAGGGCCATCTGACAGTTATCAGCTGCCTTCGGAGTCGGACATCAGTGAGGCAGAAGAACAGCTGGAGCCTGTTCCCAGTGTGCACATGAGCAGAGCTGCCAGGAGAAGGGAACAGCTAAGGAACAAGGGTTGACTAGGAAGTAAAGCCACAGGTGGAAGGTGAATGGTCCCTCCCATAGGGAATAAAAGAGGAGTGCAAGGGGAGTGGGGTGTTTGCAGGGGACAATTAGTTCATTTGGGTGAAGATCTGTTCCTGCATTCTTGCCTAGTATTGTCTGCTACAGTGTGACATTCGAAAGATATCGACCTGGCAGCTCTTCAAGCCTGATAAATGTCTGTAATTGTGAAATCTCATGAAAGACTTTTTGCTGGGACTTTGCTGGAGAGGAATTCACTTTAAACGAAATAAAAGGGGGCGAGGAGTTGGCTTCCTGCTGTTGGGGAAGCCTAGATCATAACATTTCCTTTCTGTCCGTAGGTTGTCGCAAGGAACAACGGAACATTCCAGATCTTTCTCGGCTTTTGAAGACCCAGAGCCAAACCACCTGGGACCAAGGGACAGCTACAATCCCCCGTCTCCCTACTATCCTCCCAAAAAGACTTTTTCGGAGCAATGTTCAAACCTGTGCTCCCGCAGAGGTAATGCAAGGCTTTTTTTTTTTCCTGTATCCGTTTCATTACAGGTAGGCCTCAACTTACAACCACAATTGAGCCCAACATTTATGTTGTTGAGCGAGACGTTCATTAAGTGAGTTTTGCCCCCATTTTACGTCCTTTCTTGCCCCTGTTATTAAGTGGTTTACTCCTTGACTTCTTTTGTCTGAAGGTTGCAAAAAGCAATCGTATGGTCCTGGGACACCGCAACCATCATAAACGTGAGTCGGTTGCCAACTGTCTGATCACATGACCATGGGGGAATGCTGCAGTGGTCATAAGTGTTAAAAATGGTCATAAGTCACTCTTTTCAGTGATGTTGTGGCTTTGAACGGTCACTAAATGAACTGCTGTAAGTCGAGGGCTACCCGTATTAACTTGTATTCAAAGGGGCTTATAAAGATTCTATCTTCTATTACGGCAAGCTTTTGTAGAATAAGACAGAAGGGAGGAGAAAGAAAACCGCCTGAACTTTTTAAAGGCAGAGTAGAGAACAGAAGGAAACGTCATTTAAATTTATATCCTGGAGTAAAAATTGTCTTATAAACAAATGGTCTAAAATAGCTGCAAATTTTCACATGAGATGCAATGCTAATAGGCAATTTTTTTTTATTAGTCTCTTATTTGGGAATGCAGTATGATTATATATTTCATGTTCTTCCCTGATCTTAAACTGGCATGAGATTCTTCCTTTTTTTCTTTTCTTGACTTCTGGTTTTTTTTTTCCTCTCAGTCTTAACGGTTGTAAAAACTGTGTGTGGGGTTCATGGCTAGTCATGAAATATTAACATGGTTTGGTTACTTTTCGTTGTCTCTGTCACATCAGCTGTTGAGTTATAGCCTGCTTTTCTGACTGTAAGGCACCAAACATAACACCTCAGAGATAGATAGATGATAGATAGATACAGTAGATAGGTGGGTGGGTGGGTGGGTGGGTGGATGGATGGATGGATGGATGGATGGATAGATAGATAGATAGATAGATAGATAGATAGATAGATAGATAGATAGATAGA